CAACAGAATCTTAACTGTTCTCATTCCTGGTGGTGGTGTTGGTTTTGCAGAAATTTTGAGGAGGAAAATTAAAATCTAACATCATCTAAACGAGAAGCTTTGGTGACATGTTTCACTATAGCATATACTAAACCTCAGCCAAACAATTCTGAAGTTACTTTTGTTAATAATCAGTGCTGCATGGTTCACAAACACAAGAGACCCAAAGGCAGTGACCTAAATATACAGTAGTCTAGAAGTTCCATGTAGAATAATATGCCCAACTTCCTTCTGACAGATAAGCATGATTATGTTACTTAAGATATCTTAAGTAACATATTCAATATGTTACATATTGATTATTATTATTCAATCATATAATATTGATATGTAATATCAATATTACTTAATATTGATAACATCCACTGCCAATATGACAGGACCCTTATTTTCCATCCTCAATTACGTATTAAAATAAAAGTCCACATCTGCTCTAGTAACATAGAACATCATATCAAAAGGAGTAGGTTTGCTCGAAAGGAATTTCCCTTCTACATACTGTAGTGCCTTTGAGGGAACTGCAGCTGTAGAAACCTTGGAGAACTCAAGAGGAATGACAACTCTGTGAGGTGCAGGATTAGTTAAACAGTTATATTAACAATACTAAACTGACAAACCCATACTAACAATTGTATCACGTAATATATTATTATCTGTTCAGGGAAGAGCCCAGCTCCCACAGAAAACAATTGAATGACTTAGAAAACACCTACGGTTCAGTCAAGTTTCATGAATTCCCCATGTGGTAAAGAAGCAATGCTTTTGGCCACTTGTGCTGAATGCAGTGCTAGGTGCTTTGTAAAGGTTATAAAGCATCTCTGCCCTTTCTTATTCCTCACTCTAATTAATCTCAATGGGATTTTGTAAAAACACTAAGAATAGTAACTGTAAGATAGCCCATAACATTCAACAGTCAGATATTTCTAAACCGGTATGAGTTACTTCTACAGGCACTGCAATTTCCAAAGTTTCAATCCCATTAAGAAACTATTAATGCAAAAGAATGACATTAAGATGTCACAGCACAGTAATGAAGTCTCTTTGAAAGCACAGGGTAGTTATAAGTAATGAGGTGGGGGAGAACAAGTATTTTTTTTTTTTCTTTTGCCAGACTGCTTTTAAACAAGGCTTTCATAGTCCAAATGCAGAGACAGTCATTTGGAAAACTGATTATCAGATGTCAACAAGCACTACAGATTTGCACACTGGCTGTGAAAATATTTTTTCCTATGTACACTTATAAACAAAACATGATCAGATAGATAACTAAGGGATAAATGTGTTTTTGTTCATGTCATTTTCTGTTTGGTTTTGAAATGCAGCATTTTCAGAGGAGAACTGGATTTCATTTTTTGTGTTGAAGTAATTTTCAGGGGAAATTTAATTGCAAGATACCAAAAGCTTTATCTTTGTAAATAGTTATTTTCATATCTCTTCTTTAGCCCAGTTTTTTCTGGATATTATAGTTCTTTGTTGAAATCTTCAGAGGATGAAGGTCAGAATAATATGCCTGTCCAAGCACTATTTTGAACCTCTTACTAGAGAGCCTGGGTCTGACTGTATACAGGTCTGTATTAAAAGCTCACAAAGGTTCCTATGGCAATATCAGCCTATTTATTGCCAGGTCATGTCCATTGACATTTCTCAAGCAGGTTCAACACATCAAATGATTGTTTCTGTTTTGCTTTTGGTGGTGTTTAAAATTTCCTTTGGAAATAAAGCTATTGGAATGGGCTTATATCAGACTACTATCCTTAGTTGTACTCCTCCATGACTGCAGGAAAGAGAAAGACGAGCCTTATACAGGTGTGAACCTCAGGAATAGACTGGCAAAATTGAGGATTAGGAAGATACAGGAATAGTTTGTCTTAGGACTTTTGTCTGCCTTTTTTTCTCCCATTAAATCAGTTTTGTTCATCTTAATTCTATGTTTTGCAAAAACTGATTTTTATGAACATTCAAGAAGCTTATATATCAATTATATACAACTTTCAGAAATAATGATGGATGGGCACATAATTGCAGTTTGTTTTTAACTGTCAATATTCTCTTTCCTCCCCCCCCCCCCCCCCCCTTTTTTTTTTTTTTTTAATTTCTTATAATGATTGTCATTAAAGCCATTAAGCCATTTCATGAAAATTCTTACTACCACAGCTAGGGGAAGCGCTAGTTCAGCAATCGCTTTTCATTATTTTAATCGTAGGCCAAACAACATCAATACATGAACACAAATATATTATTTTGTGTTTACACAAAATGAAATTAAATTTCCTTCCAGCCATTTTAGAGCTCATTATTCAATCAAATATATTATCTTTTGGTAGAAATCACTGTTATTAAATTAAGAAACCTTTTTTTTGCAGCATTTTTGATAGTTCAAAACAGATGTTGGGTCACACACATTCAGCCCAGTAAAACATGAAGTCACATCTGCAGTACTAAAGGAAAAAAAATTAAAAGGTGCTGCAAAAAGACCTGAAACACTGAGAATATAACTTGATGGATTGCATAAAATCTCTTTTTACAGTCTCCTCATTCTCCCATTTGACAGAGAATGTTGTATAGAAGCAAAAACATATGCTAAGATTTTTTTTGCTCATACAGGGAAGGACTCTCACAAGCTTGTAAATAACAGTATTTCAGGGGAAAGAGAAAAACAATTTACAATGGAATTCTCCTCTGCCATAATCTAAATTATAGTAGTGGATGAGACTGAAGTTTATTTAAACAGTGTAGGGGTTCAATTGTAGCTATAATAAAGGCAAATTCATTTTTTGTTGTTGTTGTTCCTGATAATAATAGTTTATTATAACTTCAGATCTCTGTGGGGGCTGAAAATAGGTATCATGTATTACTTGAAACAGAAGGCAATACCTGCTGACAAAGTTGTGCAAAGTCTGTTTTAAACAACGCAACAATAAATCTTCCCATAGGTGTAAATAAAAGGTCAAAACATGCACTGCTCAAACCCTATTTAAATACATATGTGTACTGGGTCTGGCTGGAATGTTAACTTTCCCGGCAGCAGCCCATACAGTGCTGTACTCTGCACTTGTAGCTGGAACAGCAGTGTTATCACACCAGTATTGTGTGATGATTTTGATTTCATTTCCAACTGCCCAATTGCCTGTCGCAGTCAGTGACAAAACACTTTAGTCAGCTGGCAAATATTTAGGTAATAGACACTATTTACTTACATTCGTAACTGTACTGTAGCCCTTTGGAATGCAACATTTATATATCATATACTTATATAAATAGAAATTGCAAAATACTACAAGATGTCTTTGAGCTTTTGATTTACTTTAAAAGCACTTTACTCCACCAACTCTAAGTAGCTTTGCCAGTTCTGACTAGAAGATTTCACGGCACCTACTCAAGAGCAGAGCAGCAATTTGTTTTTCTTTAGTGAAACCAAAATGATGAGCTTCAAAACCTTAAACAGGAAATACCTTGGAAGTTCAGGATTCATCTTCTCTGTCCTTTCATTAACGTGGGATTTCAGCTTATCAGAAGAGTGAGGTTTAGGAGTAATGTTAGTTTTTCTGTTGAAATGCCAGCCTTCAACTCTCTGTGCTGCAATTTGCTGGTTGTGACAAGTCTACTAAAATAATAATGCTGCTTTTCATCAGCTTTGTTTTCACAGGTTACAGGGCAACTATATATTTTTAAAACAAAGGAAAAATACTAATCAATTAAAACTCCTTCATCTGTCCACACTCAAACTTGTATTTTATCACTATGTTCAAAGCCTACTTCCTTTTTTGCAGCATTTTTGTTTGTGCAGAGCCCAGGACTCCTCTAACTCAGGTTTGTGGTCACAATAAGAAAATCTCCCTATTCCAGATCTTTACAATGAGACAAAGATCCCCCTCCTGTGCTTTATATCACAATTCTGTTGTGCTATACAGAGCTCTCGGTACTTAATCTCCTTCAATTATATTGTCAGAATCCAACTTTATTAGGTCTTATGATTGTATTAGTATCATGCTTAAATTAGCATCTGCTCCTAGTTACCCCAGACTGTAACTACTGAAGTGATGATAATCTTTTAGTTTTTTGAAAAGAAAGGATGGCTGCCTGGACTGTTTTGCAGTTACAGATCTTTACTATTTCATGCCCATGTATTGTCAATGGGCAACACAAAACAAAACTGAACTGATCAAAATGCATTGATGTTGTAAATGCATGGTTGTCTGTCCTGACAGCTTAATTACTCTACTTGATAAAAAACCAATCACATACAAATATAAATTTACAAGCTCTACAGAAGAAGTTCTAAACCTAAAACCAGTCCTAAGTCCTTGTGTTTGAGATAAGCACATCTCTACTGAAAGAAAAAATGTAACATCTGCTTGGATATTTATCCCATCTTACCTGTGTGTTTTCAAGGAAGGAAATGGTTAAACAACTTCTTGAACCAGGGCCTGAAGACTGTATTTTCATACCTTTGTCAGCATAGCCATTAGATTTTTTAAGTACGAGCTTGAATCCTTGGCAAGGATTCTGACCTTTACAGAGCTTATTTTTTTTCCTCATTTTATAACAACAATATTATAAAATAGTGCCATTTAAAAAGTTGCTATGGAAGCGACAGAAACACTTGATTTCCAGACTGATGCCATTTATTTGCTTAGAACTGAAATTGTATCTTCTATGGAACTGCAACAGTTCTTTTATCTCAAAGCTATATATTTGTAGGTTAAGCTGCACATTGCTTCATTTAGCCAGCTTTCTTGTTACTGATGGCAAGTTTTCTACTGCAATGCTCTTCCCTTTCCCTACCTCAAAAGGCATTCAATGCTTCTGATCTCTTTTCAGACTACCAGAAAAGCTAGAGACTTCAGAGACTAAAAATCCTGGAGTTTCTTATAATCACATGATTCTCTAAGACTGAGGACATGAGCAGTGCTAAGGGTATTACACCAGTGAAACTAAATAGGCATAAAAAGGAGTGAAAAATGTGTAAAGTCTTTGCCCCATATGCAGCTTACACTGCTATCGGGATTTATTTATTTTCCTTGAAATACTAACAGATGTTTCAAGATTTGGACAACCCCAGTGCAATACAATTCACACGGAGTTATACTGAGCATTTAGAGAGAACTCCACTAGAAGTCTCCTTTCCTCATCAATAATGTATTCAGAGTTATTAATACAAGAGTTGCATCCTAAACTGCTGATCAGGAAAAAAAAAAAAAATGCACTGAGATTTGTCTTGACACTCCTTTGTACTTTCATTTTAAATAGCAAAGTAGACCAATAGTTAAGCATTTTACCACAGTTCCATTGATTTAACCTAATAGGAGACCTTGCAAAAAATTGCTAAGACCATACAACAGTTATTGATACTACATAATATGAATATATTTCATATACTTTTCTATTACATAAAACAGACATTTGGAGAAAAAAAAAAAAAGGGTATAGAATTTTATAATAAGACAATTGTGGCCAATGGATTTGACAAGTAATTATAACCAGTACAGTAAGCTCCAAATTTTTCTTTGAGTGTCATACCCAGATTAACTCAAAGGATATTACTCAAAGGCTAGAACTTCTATTAATGATAGAGATTTTATCTTATATAATAATAATAATAATAATAAAAAGAAAATAACACACTGTGGAAAATTTAACAGGAACCTACTCTGCTACCACAGAGTAATTTCTGAATTTAGTGACGTTCTGTATTAGCATTCCAAGGCTTCACTTTAACACAATAATTTGCTGATTCCCTCCAGAAGCAATTGATGGGAGAGGAGAGAATCTAGTATCTCTAGTAGAGAGTATCCTCTTCAAAAGCCTCTTCGGTTTAATTTCAAAGACTGATTAGATTTCTGGGAAGATAACTTTTAAAGTTTTTTGTGTTTGAAAAGTCATGGCAATCGGGATGTTCCTGAGAACTGGAAGGATTCAAATGATACCATCTTCTAGAAGGGCAACATGGGAACTACAGACTGGTAAAAATGTGAAGTCGAGTACTTTGGGAAGAATAACTCCATGCACCAGTATATCGAGGGTGATCAATTTTGCATACAAGGTTACAAAGTGGGGGTCCTGGTCGACCACGAGTTGAAAATTAGCCAGCGATGCACCCTTGTGGCAAAGAAGGCTGACAGCATCTTGGGCTGCATTAGGAGGAGCATTGTAGGCAGGTTGGTGACCGTGGCCCTTCTCTGCTCAGCCTTGGTGAGACAACTGAATTGCTGTGCCCCGGTACATAGATAGACTGGAGTCCAGTGAAGGGTCAAGAAAACGATTAAGGGGCTGGATCATCTGACATATGAAGAGAGGATGTGATTTTTTAGGCTGGAGAAGAAGGTTTGGGCAGAGATCTTACCAATGAACCTAACACCAGAGGGGAGGCAATAAAGAACATGGAACTAACCTGGTCTCCCAGTGAAAGGGCAAATCAATGGGCCCAACTGAAATAAGACTGAAATAAGGGAAATTCCATTTGATCCTAAAACAAACAAACAAACAAAAAAGAATTCTTATTCTCTTTTCATTGCAAAGGTAGTCAAACACTAGAACAGGTCATCCAGAGAGGCTGTCTCCATCCTCTTGCAGGTCTTCCAAACCTGACTGAACACAGCCCTGAGCAACTTGCTCTAGCTGACCCTGCTTTGAGTAGGGGGGTTGAACTAGATGATATCCAGAGACCCCTTCCAACTTCACTGATTCTGTGGCCAACCCCAATTACTTTTCATCTGGCTGCTTTGGTGGAGAGCCATCTTTCAATGATTTGTATGTGTGTATAGTTATGAACCTGAGGAAAATACTCCCCAGACCAAATGTTTCTCATTTCAGGTGTTATAAATTGTCTAGATTGTACATGCAGACTTACAATGATTTCCATACTACTTTACTGTAAACTTTCTCCACTTATTCATTTTCCTCTTAATCTTAGTAATGGTTAAAATGGTGAAGAGTGCATAGCATTAAAAAATGGTTAATTCACACTGACTGGAGCACACTATAATAACAGCAAAAGAGGCTTGACAAGCTTTCAATTAAATAGACACAGGCTGCCTACAGGCATCTCATTCCTCTGGGCTTGCTATGACATCACTTGCAATTGCTCCATATTAATAACATACCTTCCTTGTGGCCTAATTTCTCTCCTAGCAGACTGACAAATTAAGAATATATAAAAATATTAAAAGCAGATCTACTTCTAACAGTCCTCAGCACCAATGATTATGACCAGTTCACCTGAAGGGACCTTAAAATAGGATGATAGGCAACATAGAGTTCAGGTTCCACAGTAACTGCTAAGAAGGCAAGCTTAATTGCTCCCTGACCCATCACCATCAGTGGATAAAATGTGCAGCTATAGTAAATAAGTCCAAGCATTGAACGTGACTGGAAGCTGACAGCATATTTTACCTCAGTGAAATGGCTTCACAAGCTTCAGAAAGCTTTAGAGACTATGGAAAGGTCACAACTAATCTTCAATTACTGCAAAAAAAAAAAAGCCTGAGATGAACATGAATAGCATTTTTTATATTTATTTTTTAAAAAAAAAGAAAGAGCAAACTCATGTCGCCCTTAAGAACCTGCATATGTTGACTGTTCTTTGCGGTACACTTCAATGAGCTCCTTGATTTGTACTGTCACCCACAGCTGCAGCAAGAAAAACAGAAATCCAGGGACAGACATAGTGCACTTTCATTAATTCAGTGAGTACAGTAATTGGTAATAACTGTAGCATGATCACTGAAGTCTAGAATATATCTAAATTTGCTAATATATATGTTGATTTGCCTCCAGATAATTAGGTAAGAGTTTCCTCTATAGGTTAGATATTTTGCGGGGTGTCCTAAAATTTTCTTGGAAAAAACAAAACAAAACAAAAAAACCAAACCAAAACAAAACAAATAATCTATCCCATATCTTGCAATTAAAAGCTGCACTCTAAAATACCAGCTGCTGGGTAGAGGTTTTTGTCAGCCCTTGAGAAATATTGGATACCTCAAGGATGAAGGAAAAAAGATTAGTATTTTTAAATCATCCCTGAAACAAGGTATTGTAAAATTCACAGAGCTAAACAGAAGTTGAAAGATGGAATCTGCTCTCCACCCAATAAATCAAAGCTCACAGTCCTATTGCCTCCACAATGTAAAGACAACTCCGATAATATTCAATGTTCCCCCACCCCGTTTTTTTTGTCTCCTATTGAAATATGTAATAGTAAATGAAAACTTACAGCAACTCTAAGAGAGAATTCAGTGCTGAAGACAGAAAATGTTGGCTTCAATTAACTGTGAGATTTTTCAACAGATCCAGGATTTTTTATCTGATTTGTGCACACATTAAGTTCTAGTCATGAGATTCAAAACCATGTTCTTTAACAAATGCAGAAACCAAATTTTAAAGACAAAGCAATCATTATTATGTTCATTAGCAAACAGACTTGAATCACTCCTCCAAAACAATACCTTTTAAGACTTGGAATGAAGGAGCAATCAGTACATCAGCATTGACAGCGTTTTATACCTTTCAAATGAAATTTTGAAAACAAGCCTAAAAATCACTGAAGTTTTTTCCTAAGTGCACAAAGAGTAGTTGAACACTTGTCTCTGACTTTCCTATTAGCAAACTGATTCTGAAAATCCAGCAGGGACTACATGACCTTGATGATCACTTCCAGTCATTAGCAGAACAGAAGGTGGCTGCAAAACAGCGAATGCAGTTTACACTTCACCTGCTTAAATTCACTTTAGCAGGTGGCAGACAGGCTGGCTAGCAAAAGAAAGGAACTTGGAAATCGTCGTCTTATGGAAAACATAGCTGCAATGGAGCACTGTGTTACCAACAACCGGACAAAGCCAATACATATTAGCAGCAGCACAATGTTGCTCCTCCCTCCCATACAACAAGAAAAAGAAAAACAAGGTTCATTGCATTTACCAAAAAGGTAACAAAATTTAGGCATCTCCTTTTGCTAACAGCCATTCCTGAATTTATGTTTGAATTTTGTCATCTGTTACAAGATGTATTCCATTCCAAAAGTAAATGGAATGCTAATTATCACAACATCTCTAGATATTGCAAATGTATTTGAGATAGACACTAGTAATTAGAACTGAAGGCATATATACAAGCAAATATACTGGACAATTTTAAAATATTCATTATTTTGCATTTAAGTACAGCTGCATTACATTAGCAATGATAACACAGCACATTTCTGGGAAGGAATTTCTGCAGACAGTTCCTTAACTGCTTCTGATATGGCTTCTAACAAAGTCATAACACTGAATGTATTTGACAGCGCGATTAAATGGAGAAGTCAGTATATTGTCACAGATCAGCTCTGCCATGACACACTCTGACTCTACCGATAAAGCCAACTAAATACTTTTTGGTACAGTATCTCAGGAAGAGAGGCACACATTTATTGTTAACTACAACAACACTATGTGATACATAAATCATAGCGCTACACAAAAAAAGACTGTCCACTTTGTCATCATACCATACCAGGTTACAGGCAGACCAACTCAGTCGATAGCACTGCATTAAAGTTATAAAGCCCATGATTATTTTTTTGTTCCATGCTTTAAATTTTATGGCTGTGAATGATAAAATACTGCAATTTTATGAAATTGGATCCTATCCACTGGAACCAAGAAATTAGAAATACAGACCTAGGCAAATGAAAAAAAATATATTTATGAGTTGTAAGTCAAAGATGCAAAATATCTACTGGCAACTCAAACTTCTAACTTCTCCAATCTTATCCAGTTTCAATAGCCATTTAATACGATTATAAAATCAACAGTATTTACCCAAGCTATCTTATGAACAAAACTACATTGTATAGTATTTTTTGTATGCTTTATCTTCCCAGGCCAAAAAAAAGCATCACATATTATTTATATTATTCTCCTGAGTCCCTTTAGACTGTCATCACTGATATAAAACAAATGAAAATAAAGCTACATCAAAATCTGTACCCAATCCACTGAAGTAATAGAAAGGCTTTGCATTGTTTTGGAGTTTTTTGTTTTGTTTTGTTTTTTCATTATACGTACTGTTGGGGACAGTATATCATATAAATTTATGGGCACATTACTTATAATAATTTTATTTTGTATTTTTTTTTCTCTGTGGGAACAGTATTATAAGCTGTTCCAGTCATCTGAGTGCATTAAAAGTGTTATGTTTTCACAGCACATCTTATTTGTCTATTAATCATTTTTAGCAAGGTAACCACAGGTTCCTTTTTATCAGAATATTAACACTTAATGTGTGTTTGAACTCATGACCTGCATATTTGTTTTAATATGAGATTATGACAGTATTTGCAAAGAACTCCACACTGATGTCAGTGGGGATTGCTTAAGCACAAGTGAGGTAATGTGAATTCAGTCATAGGTTTGCCTAAGTTTACTTTTTGTGCAAGTCATTCATTGAAAGACTCAAAATAGTTGCTTCTTGCTCACATTTCCTCTCAACAAATTGTTTCCTAAAGCTGAAAGCAAAACTCCTCCATCCATACTATGGTTGTGCACGCATCACCCTTTCCAGGCTAGACATCAATGATAGCATCCTGGAAATTTTCTTTCATTTATTTCAGTCCAATTGAACAAACAGCAAAGATGTACTGTTTACAGACTTCAAACTAGCTTTTGCCTGAAGTGAACAGTTACATGCCACAGTTTCAGATGGCAGATCTGAGTTGTTAGCAGTCTTTTTATAGGGGAGTAGTTGTTAAAAGAGGAGTGGATCCCGTTCTTCCACTAACAGTTATTGGTACAGTACATGTGCACACAGGGCAAGTAGATTCAGCCTTCAAAAAATCTACATAGAGAAATAAACTACTCTGACAAGTACATGCAGCAGCATGCAACTCCAGAGGGACAGCAGCAGTCAGTGTATTCAAGACACCAAAACATTTATAAGATGAGATATATAACATTTCTTGAACATGTCCAGGAAATCAAAGTTGACTTCTAAGCACATAGGATGGAATTGTCAAGCCTACCGATAGAACATTTCAATCCTTTCAGAAGGAGGAAGTCTGGTTTTAAAATTACAGATGGTTAAGTCTAAATTATTAAAATTCAAATGCATTTTGCAAGAATTGGCTGCATTTCTTTTCCATGGGCAACAATTTCTGCCAATTAATTTTGCATTCAAAATGTACACATACAGGTGATTTTTGTTGAAAACAGCCTTCATGTAAAACAGAACATGGAGAATGCATTCTTATGTAATATAAACTTTGTGAATGTTGACTATGTTATGCATAAGCTGTGCCATAAAATTGATTTTTTTTATTTATTTTCTACATACTAGCTTTTTTCTCCCTGACATAGTACTATAGCATTACCTAAATAGAATATTTCAGCTAAAAAAGTCAGATTTGAAAAATAAATCCAGTCAGCCAAATGCATTTTGGCTAATACAGCTGTCCAAAAGTTCCACATACATTGCCTGTTACAGATGTCAAACCTTAAAAACTTTAACTTCATTAACGTGAAGTTACAACTGTTTGCAAACAGACAGTAATGACAGACCTGTCAAACCAAGCTGTGACTTTTTTTTTTTTAAATGGAAATAAGCTGTGCAGGCATTCTAATACTGGTTTTGCTAGACATGTACAACATACCATAAAACATGACATCAGTTAAATTCTGACCACAGAAACATAGCTTAATACATCAGGGCAATTGAAAGTAATTCCATTAGAACTTCAAGCAATATTTTATGTGCAAATTTGGATCTGCATGAGAGCTAAAATATGGGTGACACACTGCTCATTTCCTGTAGTCTTTTTTCTCCAAATATGCTCACACTGATTAAAGTGAATATTTAGTGAAATTACTGCACCTGAACAAAAGACCAGCAATGTAACAGCACCAAATGTCATTCTAATCTGTTATATTTATAAAAGCCAAGTTTTTAAGAAGTTACTGTAAAAATATAAAAGCTATCAAGTAAAGGTGATGAAAGAATATATACTGGAAGTGTTCAATCATTCAATTCTTATTTTCTTCTATTTTATAAAGATCTTAGTGTTACAGCAGTGACAGTTACATTAAAGAAAAACTGATATTCCTCACAAAGGTTCGTTTCTGGTATTTAGAAGAAGCTAGTATCCTGATTAATATTGCATGAACATTTACTTTATGAGCTCAAGCTGACTGAAGTAACGCCTGCATCTGTTTTCAAGCTCAGTGTGCTTCCTTTGTCTTCCTATGAACAGCTTTCCTGTAATCATAAGATATCTGTGTTTGCCTTTTACAGTTTTCAGTAAAATAAACTGAATTGCAATCCAGAATCCAAATGGGAGCAAACCGATGCATATAGATATGCAAAGAAAAAGATTGCCGATTTCAATACCTCTAAACAACTGCATACAAGTAGTTGGGACCTTTCACGGCCAAATGCCTACCTCTCCAATTTTCATAGCTGCTCTACATGCACCTGCACAAAGACGTTGAAATGTTTGCTTAGGCTTGGCTGCTTGGCACAGAAGAAACCTGGTATCCCTTCTGAGAGGTAATAGGATTGAGTGCTACAACAACTCTGTGGCCTACTTTACTTCTCTCATTAATACTCACAGAGTACTGACACCTTCCTATTCCTCCAAAATTTATTTATTTTTTTATCAACATCCATAGTTTTTCCTATTCTTCAGACAATAAGTATATATCATTTCTGTATTCAGATTTATTTCCTGTAATTTTTATCCTCACATTTTACTCTTGATGTTACTGCCAAGTGTCAGTGTTTTTCTTTACACTCTCAGGATCATCTATAGCATGTATTCTGTAACTGTCACAAAACATTTTTTTGTAATACTTCAAATGTCAATCTAACCTGTCTCATTCATGATAACTGCTTCTACTTTAGTGCTTCAGAGAGCATGAATTATTCCGACGGCTCATCTATTTTGTTTAGTCCTCTTATTTCCCTGAACATTACAATGATCGGAGCAACAGCAACATTCTGATAGTCACCTCCAGAGTTAAAAAGTATTTGGCTTCTCCTCCTTTCTCTTATAGTCTTATTTTCTTAGTCTTATTTCTCTTATAGTCTTACTTCTGTAAGCATGTCTGTAACAAGTCATCTCCCTATGCATATTAATACTTCTTATCTTTTGGGTAATTTCCAGTTCATAAATTCATCATTTATGGATATAATGACCCTTAAAATTCTCAGAAAACTATCACTCAAACTATCACTCAGAAAACTAGCACTCAACTCAGTGCGTCTTTTATACAAGATCTTCCTGAAGACAGGCTGTTACCAGCAAAGTGTCCTTTCTTTTCAGGCAACAACTCTGTTCTGCTTCAAAGCAATGATAACCATAAGCACTGTACTAAGATCAAAAATCTTGAGGTGACCGTCACATATGCCAGTTTTCACAGTCTAAGGCATTCATAACTCTCATGGCTGTATCACATCTAGTTGAATCCCCATCCCCTACAACAATACTTTCATTTATAGTTAGCAAAAGGCTTTTAGTACAAGCCATTATTGACCCTGAAGTCACAGGTCTCTCTCCTGAGCAAGAGGCCTCATAGCATTTTACTTTTTTACTGAGATTTATGTTTTCTTTATTTTGAATCAGTATCACATAAATTTGTATAACTGACATTTTCTAAGGTCCACTTGAACGCAAAACACTTCATTTTGCAAGTTTCCAGTCCATCTTCTATTACTATGGTCACTTAAAGCAGCTGCATTTTGCTGAGGCTTACTTAACCTTCTCAACATTTGAGATTAACAGGTACTGGTTAACCTGATAGCCCATTCTGACAGTGCAGGTTACTAAGTGCGGTTGAAGATTTACCTGGTTTAAAAGATTTTAAAAGACTTCAGCAGCAGAAAATACTTCCAGAGTCAACATCAGTCATAACTAGATAACTTACTCTCCTAATAGAGCTATCTAATCTGGCCATCTTAAAATAATTCAGAAGCTGCCATTTCATCTCTTCCAATTATTGTTTTATGTAAAACAAAAACAAAACAACAACAAAAACCACAGAGGTGCTCATTAACAATTGTTTTCTTTAAGTTGGGGTCGATATACATCACTCACACCACAACTTTTCACCTTTGACAATTTCAGGAAATTGGTATTGTTTCATACATTCATGTTCAGAACACATGTCTACACCTGGGATGTCAACTCTGAGTCTGAAATTATTTCTCCATTAACCTTCAACACTAATTTCTCTTTATCAGATTAGGTTTAAATGGTTTTACAGACATATAATGCATTTTTCAATTAAAAGCATTTCAAATATACAAAAAAAAAAAAAAGTTTTTATTTTTTCTATGTTTAGTCTATCTGGATAGACCAGAGAAAGTTTAAAGATGTTCTCATGTTCCACTTTAAAAGCAATAATACAGAGTTCCTTCCAAAACTTTCCTCTTTGGGATGCATGGGGGAGAAGAGGATGTTAATAAGTGCTGAGTTTACAGATTTTCTTTCTTTTTTTTTTTTTTTTTTTAGAAAATAATCTATTTAACATCATCTGGAATTCATCAAAGTAGCTGGGCTGATTTGTGTTGATACCATTGCTCTTCACCTTATGTACCGAGTAGTGCCAACATTTCACGCCCAATGATTTAATTCCTGGGCATCATACTATTGAAGCTGTTTTTCTTATTATCCATAAAAATAATGAAATATGTCTCAGTAATCATGTGTAAAAGATTATAAACACCAAAGAAAAAAGTGAAGTATTTTCTCTCCCAATCATTAACCATTTGCAACTTGAAGGGAACAAAAAACTACGACATCGTGAAAGCAATAAATTAAGACAACTGACTTTATATCTGTTATTCAAACACAAATAAACAAAACCAACAATACATAATGCATTAAGTACATACCTGTCTTTAAACACTAACTGTAATGAATTGCTTGCTCTTCAGACAGCTGCAGTGATTCATGCCAGAACTGTGCAATTTACTGTGCAATTTATACCAAGTCTCAACCTGTTGGCAAACATCTTCAATTTCTCCTTTTCCAAACCAGTGCTCTCAAATTTTGAGCACCTTCTTCATAGTTTATCCATGAGTTATGGTCATTATTAGGATTTGACTATATGTATTTTTTAATTACTTTTTTTTTCTGTTCAGTCAAAAGATTTAATGCTTATCTGCATTATTGTGTAACTGAAAATAAAATGAGACCACTAGACTATTTTATGTGCCCATAAATATAAATTCATGTCACAAGGAATTTTTTCTTTGAAACTAGCAGTTTTACAATGCTAGAGGTTGGGCAGATCAGATAGATGTGGGACTCAGGGAATATAAGTAAATTTATTTTAAAAAGAGTACTTACCACTAACTTCTTATTCATTCTGATCTCAATTCAAGAAGTTGTAAAATATATGTCTTCAAAGAGTCCAAAGACATCCTATGTATTACAAAAAGAGATGAAGTCCCTCATAGGAATAAGGTTTAAATAATCTTTTGGTTTATCCTTAAACAGATGAAAAGTATTTCAAAAAAGATCACATGGACAAGTACAACTCTCTTTGTACCTCTGATACCTATGCGTTTTCTACAGAATAATCTACAGCAATTATGTGAATTGGAACTTGTATTCATTCATCTTCTCATTAACTCATTTATCATTTACATTATAGAATTAGTCTTTTTTCTTTTTTTTTTCTTTTTTTTTTTAAATGCTGTTCCCAGAACTGGGAAAAGTGAATAATTAGTCTTAAGGCAAGACTGGGAAATTAATACCTTCCTTACACACAAAATTATACCGTGTTCCTTAATAGCTTTTTCCCCTTAAAAATAGAAAAGAAAAAGAATAAAAGAAAAAGAATAAAAGAATGAAAAAAATGAATACAATTCCTTTATTACTTAATAATTTTTTATCCTGGAGTTATATGAATAACTTAATTTTTATAGCACTTCTCAGTTTTATTATTTAACTTACTAATGCCCCAAAATGTCATTTTGAGTGTGGAAAAAACAATTAAAAAACCAACCAAACAAAAAAAACACCACTCAACACATCTATGCTGTCTGCTGCTTTTCATCTTTTCTTCTTTGACTATATTGGTTGTGATGTTATTGTTTTTAATGGCTTTGCTTCTGTTGTTTTTTTTTTGTTTGTTTGTTTTGTTTCATTTTGTTTTCCTCTAAAGGTCTTTATTTTTCTTTCCCTACTTCAGGGAAACGAGATCACCTTGTTTCCAAATCATGAATTGATAAATGATTGTCACATGATAATCTTATTGAAGGAGCATTGTCTACATGCATTGGTAAGCATAGAAACCCCACTTTTACAATCTGTATGCAGCAATATGGCAGCCATTTCATATGCAGAAGCTAGCAGGGCACCTGATTGGCTGTTTTATTTCACGTTCTTTGACTTTTGAAAATTAGGTCTAAGCCTTTTTACCACAAAGATGTCAATTTTCTACTGCCTTTATTGGCTTCAGTTTTAGAGATGCCAAACAGTGCAGGATTTTCTGACATTGATTGATGGAAATGCTGAGCACCTTTGAGAGCCAGACTATGCCTATTAATTTTCTTTTTTTTTCCCTTACTATACAATATTTTTATGGCTTTCATGTTTGCACAGCTCATCTCTCTTTGGTTTAATGATGTATTGCCTGTATTTCTTATGAGAGTTAGGGTTCAACATAGTAATCTCATTTTCTCTTCATCAAACATCCATCTGACTAGAGGTTCTCTACAGATTTTTCTACATTCTTACAAAATACTACTAGAGCTTCTACGGAAAATATTTTCACATTGCGATTTACAAACAGCAGCAGTAACAAGTGTGTACAAGTGGCAGTTAAATACAACCTCGCCCAACTAACAGTGAAAATCCCAGATGGCTCCCAAACCTCTTCCTGAGGTCCCAGGGCTGTCTCCCTTTCTGGTTTCCCTGCAGGTGGAGAACAAAAATGAGCTCCCTGAAAGGCTGCTGTACCAACTCTGCTCTTCCATAGAGCCTAAGTGCTTTTGCTACTGCATCTGCTGACCAAGGAAAATCCACTATATAACTCTTCTTTTGCACTTCCCAGGCAGATTTGAGAGGCCAAGTATTTCCTGTAATTAAAGACTGGAGAACCACTCTTTCCAGATGAAGAGAAATGTTCCCAGCTGACATTACAATATAGTCCAAGTCTATCCCAGTCCACAGGCTGGCTCAGGTCAAGGAGAAAGAGGAGAGGCCTCTCAACTTGATAAATTCTTTTTGTAATAGTGATGCTTCTAGTTAATCTAAGCTGCTTCTGATAAGTACTATAGCTAAGACCACCCTGGCCTGAAGGACTTGCAATCTGAGCTGGCAAGGCGTACACTGTGGGATCTTTCATTCCTCTTTTTTTGTTTGCAAGGGGGTAGTGGAAAAGCAACAGGTGGAATCTCTGAGAGAGTGAAGCAGAATAAGGAATTAAAGGAGAGCAAAAAAAAGGATAGAAAGGAATGGCCAAAAAAGTGTTCCCTGTTCTTCTGAGAGGACAGAAGACAACTGGGGCAATGCAGATGTGAAAAGAAACAGGAAAGAGCAGGCAGAAGCAGCAATAGATAAAGGTTCATCAAAACCACGGGAGTTTGAGCTCTGTTCTCAGTTCATGCTCAGACTGCTCCTATACCTGCTGTGAAAGCTGCAGGGTCTGTCTGAAGCTAACCACCTTCTGAATAGGTGTTGTGCACAGCCCCTCTATTCTGTCCTCAGTAGAAATGCAGTAGCCAATATTGGTTTATTTCAGTACTAAACAACAAGTTATGCTAGTGGAAAAAGAACTTCACCTTGGAGTATTCTAAATTTCACAAAGATCTCATTATTAAGAGATGAAAGAAAGAAGCATTATCAAATGGCATAAGCAGTTTTCAAGATTGGGGAGGGAAATCACACAGATGAAGGCTGACATGTATTTATTGTGGCATGAAACAAGCAACTTCAAACAGGCACATTCCAATCACATCATGGCCTGAAAGCATCAAACTGAACATGATTGGGAATTGAGCAAGTAACAGGCAGCATCATTTTCAGAGTATAAATCCAATTTTTCCACATGAAATAATACTGAACTAGGAATAAAATTAAGTCATGGTGGAATGAGCTCATTTGTAAAGCAATAATAGAGCTGGTATATTTAAAGAAAACATTTTAGTAAAAAACAAAACAAGACAAAACAAAACAAAAAAAAAGCTAAAACACACAAAATTAAGGAACAAATTAAATGCATCTGAATATATCTGAAGAATATTGTTAACATTTTGATGAGAGATGTTATAATATAAAATAAACTTGACAGACAGACACAGATATTTTCCTGAGTCTCTGTGTTTGTTTTGAGATTGTGTTAAGATCTGTTGCACAGTATTGCTGCAATGCTGATACTGTAAGGTTTTCAAGTGATACAAAGATTTTGATTCTAATGCTATCAATTCTAGTTTGTTATAAGCAATTTCAAAAGTATTTTCACTACTAAAAATTTCAGCATATACATTGTCTTTTAATGGTATATTCTTTATAGACTTGTACACAGTCTAAGAAAAGATAGAAAATTACTTTCACCAGGTATTTGTTCATGTTGCACTTTAACTCCTCCTTATTAATTTACATAAGTAACAAAACATCCTTCACACCTACAAATGCCTATATGCCCTTCCTAGATAGTGCTTTTGTATCACAGCACAACAGACTGTTTCCTCCTGCACCACCTTTTTTAATCATTCCTTTCCCCAAGCCCTCCAGCAGACACTGACCACTGAATGGTGCTGAGTTCTGATGCTGTTACTACATTCCTACACAGCTTCCCCAACCCAGGGCTATCCTTCCAATATCCAAATTGAAAACAAAACAAAACAAAACAACAACAGTATTTCATACTACCCTACAAAACCTGGAAATCCAATAGCTACCATAAAACACTATTTTTCAATGCCAAGAAGCACCTAGAAATAGCCAATTGCACAACTTGCCTGAGAAATTACTTTGTATGCATGAAAAATTTCAACATCATCAGATACCAAAGATGCTCTATCTCAAGTTACATAAATGTGCTGTGAAATGTCTTTTCACTGTCTTGTTTATGATGTTGTCTGCAGGCACTGCATTATAAACAGCACTCTCACAGCTACCTTGCTGGCATTGAAAGAGCAAACTTTCAGTCATGTTGAGGATGACAGACAACTTGATCAGACTTTTTGCAGTGTTGCTAGCAGTGTTGAGGACAAGATTATCAGTACATTAATTCTATAGAAACATTAGTTACCCCCAAACAATTTCTTCCTGACATATTTAGACCCCTTTGAGAGTCAGAATGCTAGCAAGGAGACATGGAAGAGCTGTTTCATGTAACTGACTAAGAGGATGTCAGGTAACATTAACCTAGCCACTGTACTAGTGGTTAAGTTGTCGAGTGATTATTGATAATCTGTTAATCAGCAACCCAATGAGTATCAATCAGCAAACATTCTAGCCACCCAACAATTAATAATTATTCATGTCTCTCAGCAAGTTCGAATAACATGTTGCAAGCTGCTCTGAAACAGTGCTGACGTACTTCATTTTAAAACCATTTTTCTAATATTTTACTCAGCTTTTAAAACTGAATGCTAACAGAAGCCACCAAGCAGAAATTTAACATTACCCAGATCATTTCTATAAAGCTATATTTCTCCATTCCATGTGCAACAGTGCCCAAAGACATCTCGCACCCAAAGGACTGTTGTAAATACTGTTCCTTGGAAATAGGGAGCTAGCTTTGGGTCATTTGGATGCCAAATTACACTAGAAAAGAATCCATGGGCAAATAATTCCTATTCCTGCATGAACAGAGGAGTCATTGCAATACTCTCCTATTCATTTTTGGATAGATAAAATCCTAAGTCCTGAGCAGACATGCTCAGTGTGGCATCAAAATCAGAGACATACAGAGAGCTTCTGAATCACACTATATCTTCTGTGATTACTTATGATTGCTCTGTTTTACTGCCCAAGCACCCATTTGAAGAGCAACTTCTGTTGCTTTTAGTGCCCTCACGGTTACCATCGATCTCTAGCAATGGATCACTTTCAATTCACAAACAGAAACAAGAAATATGTACCATGTAGGATGCATCTGTAGGATGCATCCTTTGCTTGCTACTTAAGGAAAACCCTCCATCTGTCTTATCCTGTTTATGAGTTCATAGAAATGACTGGTTCCACATTTATTTGGGATGGGAATGCTGAGCAATTGATAGATATCAGATTTACTTTGTGTTTCTGATACTATTCCAGTATTTTGGAGCATGTAGTGAATTACTTCATTATGTCATTATAGTGTATGGAATGATCAGTATCAGAGTTAAAAGCAGCAGAACACGTATATACCAGCCAAATCATCCTGTGTTTTGAAAAATCATTTGGTAACAGAAAATGAAGCTATAAAC